ATCCACAGATTTCAACCTCCTTAGTAGCCAGGATTATAGGCGTGAGCCACTGGCTAATTTTTCTATGGAGACAAATTATGATATGATAAACTCACATGACTTCATTCAAGTCGTAATTTTTATCTGAAAGGTCTCAGGTATGATGAATCTAAGTATATGACACTCTCATGCCCTCCTCCCCTCCTACTACAGAAAATAGGGAAGAGCCTGGAATAGGAAGAGGAGTATGTTTACCTGATGTCACACAGCAAAGGAAAGTCAGACCATGCAAGAATCATGGTTCACTGATATAGCTACTAAACTTTTTTAGACACAAGGAAATCTGAAGTATCTATAAAACTTGGAGTCTGGAAATGGGATGCTATAGACAAATACTATTGTACATTCTTTTTAACATATGATAGGATATGGTACAAATTATTATTCGTTCTTCAATAGCTGTCTATCATGGATTAGAACATAGATTGAAATGATTTGTGAAATCTTTTAAAGATGTTTAAAAGCTAGGTGCCAGTGGCTCAGGCCTGTAATCCTAACTACCCAGGAGACAGATCTGAGGTTCAAGGTTCAAAGCCAGAATGGGCAGGAAAGTTTGTGAGACTCTTATTTCTGATTAATCAGCAAAAAGCCTAAAGTGGAATTGTGGCTCAAGTGGTAGGGTGCCTTGAGCGAAAAAGCTAAGGGACAGTGCCTAGGCCACAAGTTCAAGTCCTACTAGGACCAGAACACACCAAAAGATGATTTTTAATTTGTATATTAGTTGTCCAATACAGGGGAGGGTTTTGTTGTGGGATTTTCATGTAGTCTACAAAATATTTGCCTAATTACTCTCCCTTATCCAGTCTTAAAATCTTCCTTTCGAAATTTGTCTCTAGCTTAAGACCATGTCCCCACACTGATGTTTTTCCCCTCCTTTTCATCTTGTCCTTTCTTTCAAGGTGGACGATTTGAGACTGGCTTATGGCAGCGGGTACTACCGAAATGTGAATGGTGTGCATGCATCTGAGCCCCTGTTAGATAGCAGGAGGAGGAACTCTGCAGTGGAGGTGACCTTTGCAGCTGAGCTGGAACGTTCCAAACCAGAGGCAGACCCCACGTCATTACACCAATCCCAAAGCAGTTCCTCTTTCTCCTTTATTTATTCAGACTCTGTCTTTAGCACTGACCCTGAACCTGATCCCAGAGACGTCTTTGAGGAGAGGACTCCTCTAAGCTCCTTCCAAACAAGTTCTAAGTTTGCTGACAATCACATAAGCATATCCTCAGGCCTCACAAGCAAAGTGAGTCCAGCAAGGCAGCTAATGTACACAGATGTGCCGTATGTTCCTTATACTACACAGCAGGTTGATATTATGCCTCCCCAAGTCTTTTTTTATGTGGACAAACCACCCCAGGTGCCCAGGAGGTCTCCAATCATGGCAGATGAAAGGGTAAGACCAGATAGCTATAGAGAACCCACTGCAATAAAGCCAGCCAAAAGAAGCCCAAGGAATATCAGAATGAAGAACATTCAGCAAGATCTTCAAGAACTCCAAGAAGCTATGGCCAGGACTAGTGGAAGGGGCAATATCAATGTAGATCTAGAAGAGGAAGACCCCAATTTAGAAGATGCGTTTGCATATAACATTCAAGAGCAAACCCCTAAACGGTCCCAGAGTCAATCAGACATGAAAATGATTCGTTTTCCTTTTGGATCAGAATTTAGACCTTTAGGGCCATGTCCTGCTCTGAGTCGTAAAGCAGACTTGTTCCCGTGTATGTTTGCAGAACAGGAGTTCCCAGCAGTTGTGGTGGATCAGACTACAGCAGAGAGGTATATAGCTAGCGAGTCCAGTGATTCAGAATCAGAGATTCTTAAGCCAGACTACTACTCTTTGTATGGTAAAGGAATTAAGTCACCTATGGCCAGGATTCGCTTGTCTTCTGGTAGTCTACAACTAGATGAGGAAGATGAAGGCGTTTCTTTTACCACCTCAGCTACTGAAGACAGGACTTTGCTAAAACCATGCAATTACTTCTTAGCTTAAAAAATATCCACTCGATGACCATTTCTAGGCCCGACTTAGGTAAGAAATAAACTTTTTAATCAGCCATTTTCTTAGTCACATTTAATTTGACATTAAGGGAATCTTCTAATTGTGACCACCTAATGTATGGAAGATCCAGCTGTTGCCTCACTCCTGGAGCTTTTCTCTTTAATTTCCTCTCAACATCTGGAACAAGCTTTCTCTGGGAATTGTGGTAGGCTGAAGGGAGTATTATGCACTTCTTCATACAAACATAAATGAAACACATACTCTTCAACACTGAAAAATGGGGAGAACGTGGGTGGGCATATGCAACTAGCTTCTAATGTCGTTTTCTGATTTAGTAAACTATGACTATGTCGATCATTTTGTACTTAAATAATACTAAACAAAAGTTTCAGCCCTCAATGTTTCAGTGGAATCCAGTAAAAAAAAAAGTTTGTTACATATTAAAGACTTCAGTATTGTGTACTTGTATGGGGGAGGGGGGTTGCACAAGGCCCTCCTACCAAATCAGGAATAAGAGGTTAACAGAGCTCTTCTCAACAAAACACATTCTTAGAGTTAATACAGGACTTGGCAGAATTGTAAGCCCACGAATTTAATCAATTATGCTCATTTCTAAAGCCAGATATATGCCTGATGAGGATGGTATGATGTTTGACTTTTAATTTCTCAAATCTTAACTATTTATTTTATGTAATGAGATAAACATTCATAGATAATTTTGTTGGGTATCTCCTGCAGAAAGTTAATTTTTTGCCATGTCTTTGTTGCATGCATATTGGTAAGGAAGTGAGATGCTACTTTAATAAAGAGTGATGGAAAATGCATTCAATTAAAAAAACAGAAGTTATAAGTATGGTCTTCTTTTTGTTTTAATCCATTTCAGAATTGATGGATTATGGCCTATTACTAAGAAACAGGTCAATTTAGAGGACGAGGAAAAGGAGGAAGACAAGTGAACATAGTAATGGGTGCAGAAATGGAACTGAGGGATAGCTGAAAAGCAAATGATAGTACTGACAGCAGACTTTATTCATGATCCAAAATACTGTTCTCAATCTACTCAGAAGTTTCCCCAGTTTCCTAGTCCTAACATCAGGAAATTTCCTTTTCATAGACCTCATTTTGCTCTTTTCTTCTCCAGGACATATATACAGTAGCTCACAAGTTTATAGAGTAGTTACGTAACACTGAGAATATAGCGAATCTCTAGGAAAATTCAAATTCCTTTATGTTCTGTTTTTCTTTTCTTTCTCATCTCAGTTTTTGAAAAACCTTAGTGAAATGTATAGTTTCCTATAGGAATGACAGGGTTCAAATCTATATGCAGTTTTTTAAAAAAAAATAACATGGTAATTTGGAAGATCATATAATGTTTGTAGATATTTTTGAAAGGAAGGTACATTAAAGATTTTGTCAAAGCTGGGTGTTACTGGTTCACACCTGTCATGCTAGTTACTCAGTAGTCTGAGATCTGAGGATTGTGGTTCAAAGCCAGCCCGGGCAGGAAAGTCCACAAGACTCTTATCTCCAATAAACTACTCATTAAACCGGAATAGCACTGTGGCTCAAGTGATAGAGTGCTTGCCTTGAGCTGAAGAGCTGAGGGACAACACCCAGGCCCAGACTTCAAGCCCCACGACCAGAAAAAAAAAAAAAAAGGATTTTGGATTTTGTCAAGATAGGAGGCAGGCCATATAGTCATTATAGGTATAACTAACTCTTAATGTATGTGATATCTTTAGTTTACAACAGAAACTTTGTTTATAGTGTTCCAATAATAAAAAGGAAAAGAGAAAGTATTTTGAAACAATTAAAATAATATACCATACCATCGCACACTACCCCATACTACCTCCAGCTCAAGAAAACACTGATGATCACAAAATTTAAATATTTATTTGTAAAACCTGAAAAACAGTAGAATATGCTTTACCTAAAAAGAGTTTACAGGATTAATAACTATAATGAATAAGCATTACAATTTCTTTTTGTGATGCAGGGCTTATGTTGCAAAGTTTCATGTAATTAATTTACAAACTTGTTGCTCTTACTTCTACAAAAATAGCCATATAATCCATGGTATGAGTTGTGAAATTATTTCCAGAACTCTACAGATAACTGCTATTGAAACTATCAAGAAGGTGAAAATTTTTAACTGAACCATTAAGTCAAAATAGAATGCATTACCAGTAATTGTTACAGTATAGGCACCAATGGAAAAAAAATAGCATATGACACTGCAACTTTCTCAAGTGTTTCTATTTGAAAAAAGAAGATGCAATGGCCACTTTGACTAAAAACTGGCAACTACTCAGATCTCTTAAAAATAACTTGTGCAAAAACCAAATGTGCAGATCCAAATGATAAAACATGAACTATCAAAATTAATTAGTATCAATAATTCTACATCTACTAAAGTATAACACCAGCTGAGCACTTAGGCAGGCATTTTATATATATATATATATATATATATATGTATATGTATATATATATGCATACATATATATATATATATATACTGCTCTTAAAGAAAACAGTATTACCCACTTAACAGTACCATAAATACAACTGAAAATTGACTGTACAGTCTAACTTACCTTTGAGTGGACAGAAATCCTCCTGTACTATGTTTATTCTCATATATACTGGACAATGCTCATTTAAATACCCTTTCAAAGGTTAAAAACAATGCTTATGTGCTGATAATTATGAAGAACAAAAAACATATAAATAGCTCATAGGAGATTTAACTGCCATATCAAAAAGATGCTGGTGAGCCAGGCACTGGTGGCTCACGCCTGTAATCCTAGCTACTCAGGAGGCTGAGATCTGAGGATGGCGGTTCAAAGCCAACCCAGGCAGGGAAGCCTGTGAGACTCTCATCTCCACTAAACTACTCAGAAATGGCCGGAAGTGGAGCTGTGGCTCAAGTGATAGAGTACTAGTGCTGAGCAAAAGCAGCTCAGGGACATATCCAGGCCCTGAATTCAAACCCCAAGACTGGCAAAAAAAAAAAAGATGCTGGTGTTGAAATTATATTCATACCTGTTGGTCAGGTATCTAATTACATGACAATCTAAAGCTCTGAGAATCCCAGCATATAATAAATGTTATGGTTTCTTCAAGAACTATGAGGCTCCAATCTGTTGAGTTGAAGTGGAAGATTTAAAGAATGAAGCCAGACTAACTCCTGTAGTATAATTAAAAATTCATCCTTAGCTAAATGATATTGCTTTAAGTGTCTCACAGCATATTAAATAATAGTTGCCTCTTCCATCTAAAAGTGAAGATAAATACTGTGCACGAAGAGGTACTTGTATTGATGTGATACTCACTGAGGTGAGCTGCCTGGGTAGAAGTCAACACTTTTCTAGATTTCATTTCTAAGAGTGTAGTAAAAGCTTCTGTTTTTAGAAGGTATGACTTATTTCTACCTCCCTACAAATAATCACTTTAAGAACATGCTTGTGTAAAAAATGCTGTTTGAAGTTTTATGGTTTATAAAAGATGAATATTAATGATGACTTTGAAAGACCTGTATGTGTCATGAGTATACAGTTAACTGAAATTTAAAGCACAAAAGGTATTCATCCTAGTAACTGAAGAAATAATACCTAAAAGCCAAACTGTATCTCAAAATTTACTACATTACAGGTGAAACTATAGTATTAAAAGTTATTCCTTACAAAATAATCCCTTTAAAATATAAAATGATAAACACCATCACAAAATAGTCGAATGACTTCTAAATCTTGAATGTTGCAAAGGCACGTGGAACTCATGAGTTAAACATCATTAAGCTTGAAGTAACTTTGGTGGGATTCTCTGATTTCATATGAAACAGAAGCCAGCTACAAGAAATTTCTTAGGAGGAATCTTCTGCAGAACACCTATGAAATGAAATACTTCAATTAGTTGTGTATGTTCATATTCATCACTTAAAAAACTCTGCAGCCAGGCACCGGTGGCTCACATCTGTAATCCTAGCTACTCCGGAGGCTGAGAGCTGAGGATTATGGTTCAAAGCCAGCTTGGGCAAGGAAGTACCTGAGAGTCTTATCTCCAACTAGCCACCAGAAAATCGGAAGTGTTGCTGTGGCTTAAAGTTGTAGAGTACTAGTTTTGACCTGAGGAGCTCAGACAGTGCCCAGGCCCAGAGTTCAAGCCCCACAACTGATCCCCTGGCCCCCCCTACAAAAAAAGAACTCTGAAATGAGAGTTAGCAAATGAAGTTCTTTTACTGAAGACCCTTTAGTGTCTGATTTCACATCTTCCAATGGATTGGTCTGCAAACTGGATAACAGATGATAGTTTCCTGTTCAAACATAGGGATTTTCAGAGGGCTTTAGCTTATGAACGCAAGGGGCTTTATTGGATGGAAAGTTTTGGGGGTTTTTCAGTGTTTGATTTTACATGCTATATAGTTTATTCATCTTGATCCCAGTTGGCATCATGAATACAATGAAATCTAAAGGTGCACTAAGATGATCACTTCATAACTACTAAGGTAAAGATTGAATATGTACATTTAAATACAAATCAAGTCTAAGAAAATAATTTTAAAATTATATGTGAGAATGGGGTTTTCTTTTGGTGCCAATACTGAGGCTTGAACTCAGGACCTTGTAGTCTCACTTGGCTTTCTTTGCTCAAGGATGGGGCTGTACCACTTAAGCCAAAGCGCTACTTCTGGGATTTTTTTGGTTAATTGCAGGTAAGTGTCTCATGGACTTGCTGCCCAGGATGGCTTCAAACTGCAATCCTAAGATCTCAGCCTCCTGAGCAGCTAGAATCACAGGTGTGAGCCACCACTGCCCAGCAAATGTAAGAACTTTTTAAAATAAAACCAAATGAAATACTTTGAGACAGCATAGAAATTGAAATTATATATAAGGACCTAAAAATTTAAAAGACAATTGAGATAATGTCAGTTACATAACCATGGCTAGTCTAGAACTCAAGATCCTCCTCCCTCCACCTCTGAGTGTTAGGATTATAAGCATGTACTAACATGTGTGGTTAACTTTTTATATGCGTACCTCAGCTATACAAATAGTGGCACTTCTATACTTGTGAAGACATTAGCAAGAATGTAAGTATTCCTAAATTAAGCTTACAAGAGTTAGAGTAAGGATGTGATCCATTCCCCTACTAGTAGAGAAAGAGAAAAGCCAGGCCATTCTATATTATGCAAACCTACATGTTATGTATGAACATCAGAATTCAAAAACTAATGATTAAGGCAGACATAAAGCCATTTTCAAGCACACAACTCTTTTTTTTTCCTTTTTTTTTTATTTGGTTGGTTTTTTTGTCGGTCATGGGACCTGAACTCTGGGCCTGGGCACTGTCCCTTAACTCTTCAGTTCAAGGATAGCGCTCTACCACTTGAGCCATAGCACCACTTCCGGCTTTTTTCTGCTTATGTGGTGCTGAGGAATCGAACCCAGAGCCTCATGCATGCAAGGCAAGCACTCTACCATTAAGCCACCTTCCCAGCCCAAGCACACAACTCTTAGGAAGTGAGTTTGTACAAATAACTGAAATGATTGCATTAAGTTACAAAGGACGATAAATTCACAGCTGATATAATACCAATATACTTTTTCTTGCCACTTTCTAAGTTCTGTTTTGATTTCCTTTTTCAAGTTTTTAAAGTTTTATAATACCAATATACTTTTTCTTTAAAAAAATGACACTTCAGGGTCTAGGAAGGTGAATCAATGGTAGAGTGTTGCCTTGCATGCATGAGGCCCTAGGTTTGATTACTCAGTACCACATAAGCAGAAAAAGCCAGAAGTGGTGGTGCTGTGGTTCACATGATAGGGCACTAGCCTTGAGCTGAAGAGCTGAGGGACAGTGCTCAGGCCCAGAGTTCAGGCCCCACAACCAACAAAATAATTATGAAAATAAATAAATAAATAAATAAATGACACTTCAAACTTACTTTTGAAATTTTTCAATTAATTTCTTCACCATTTTATCTGTGATCCCAGGACAGGTGGCTTCAGCTACAGCAATACTTTTCTCAAGTTCTTCAATTGCCTGATTCCTGGTTGCATTATTCTCATCCTGCTGTTTAAGCTAAGAAAGATTGATTGTATAACATTTAATATATTATACAACTTAAAATGCATAGCCAATGTTAAAGAAGCTACACTTACTTCAGCAAACGCAGGTGTGATTATCATGGACAAACAGCTCAGAGTCTGCACAAAATCTTGCTCCTTTAAATAAATAACACAGATTACACCCATGAAATTAAAATAATCATTCATGTTTTTCTTAGTTATTCTGTAACAAATGTGAACTAATTTGAATTTCCCTCTTCAAAAACCCAAGATAAAGCAAGTCCCCATTCTTTCTTCCTGTCATTAACTCCCATCCATCATCCAGCAGGGCCTCTAACTTCATGAATAGATTATCTATGATTACTTGGGCCTATTTATCTCTGTACAAAATGTACTTTGACAACATCAATGACCATTCAAATGACTTCTACTGGAGCTGGGAATGTGCTTAGTAGTAGAGTGCTTGCCTAGCAGGCATGAAGCCCCAGGTTCAGTTCCTAACTACCACGTACACAGAAGAAGCCAGAAGTGGTATTGTGGCTCAAGTGGTAGATTGCTAGCCCTGAGCAAAAGAAGCTCAGTGACAGTGCCCAATCCCTGAGTTCAAGCCCCAAGACTGGTAAAAAATGACTTCTCTTATCTTTTCTTAATTAGTTCAAAACTAATGATAAATGAAGCATGCTATCTACATACTGAGTAAGTCGGACAGGTAGAGGTATTAAATTCTAATAATTTCATGTATCACAATCCCACTATAGTTGGGCAGCCACCTGTATTCTTAGCTACTCAGAGAGCTAAGATCAAAGCATTCTAGTTTGAAGGAAGCTTGGGCAGACAAATTGAAGAGAATCTTATCTCTAATTAGCCAGCAAAAAGCAGAAAGGGAGGTATGGCTCAAGTGATAGAGCACCAGCCTTGAATGAAAAAGTGAAGCAAGAGAGTGAGGCCCAGATTTCAAGCCCTAGTACTGGACCAAAACAACCAACACAACTAGCACCACCACCACTACATAGTTTGCAAGAGTCGATCAAGAGGAAGTAATCAGGTCCATACCGCCCCATTCTGCAGTTTCTTTGGATCAGGCTTCTTTCGCACAGTGGTGAAACTCCATTCAGGATGAACATTACTTTCCTTGCTGGTGGATTCCCTAAAGAGATTTCCAGCGATATCTTTATAGATTCCTAAATAATTCAGCAAGCTAAAAGCACCAAATCAATGCAGGCAGTATCTGAAGGGATGATTATCTCAATGGTTAAAATCTCACAGTATAATTTTTAAAAAAGCTTTGATCTCAGTTTCAGGGGGAAACGGCATTTTTCCAAAGAGTAGCTGCACTGGTCAATTCTAATCCCATATGGAGATCCCTACATATAGAAATGCCTCACCACTACCAATTCCCAGGGCTGAGTCAAGCTTTATTGGATGGCTTTCATAGGTAGCTGTAGCTAACTATGAGTAGAACATGTATAAATGACCCTAATATATTTTATCCAGAGAAATGTTGGGCAATTTTTTAAATATATGCAGGAATCTGAGTGTATTAGCTAAACAAATTTGTTATTTATTATCTTTGTTCCAGTTCATTTACTAGAAGAATAAAATCTGGCATAGCCTATAAACTCTTCTGGTCAAAATTAAGATAAGGACTGAGAGGTTGAATTATTGCTATAAATACTGCCATTAAAACAACACTAACTTTTTCAGGTGATAAATACATATAAGTGAATATTTTTTAGTGTACCAGTCTATTCACAGTTTGATACATGGCCAAGAGGTAGGAAAAGCCTGTAGGTCTGTTCTCCAGAGGGATTATGCAGTTGCCACAAAAGTATATGAAAATATAGCTCCTCATTATTCATTGCAAACTAATATAACACCTTTAATCAAATCTTATTCCAAAATTTTGTAATATACTCAAGTATCCACTAGGGGTTAGACCAAGACCATTTAAGACTGGAGCCATTCAGTTTTCAAATACATTGTATTCCACAAACGGTGACTGAAAAGGACTTTTACAGATTCTGAAACAGTGTGCTTTGCATTTTATGCTAGATTAAGCAGGCTGGATCATTGTTTAAAAGTGTAGCACATTAAAATGGGCTTCCTATGTTTAAAAAAAGAGAGAGAAGTAATTTATACATACGAATCAGAACCCTCAGAATCAGATTCATCATCACTGTGTCCTTCTGCTTTCCATCTCTTAAATCGATCTATCAGTTCAGTCAGATAAGAAGTCTTCTTGGAATTTTTTACAATGAATTTGTGTTTCAAAAGTTCTTTAGCTGTGGGACGCTAAGGCAAAGCAAAATGAAGGTTATATGACTATTTCAAGGCTGTGATTGCAAAGGATGGGTTTAAAAGACATTTGAATTATTAAACTGCAAAATAGAAAAATATACCTAAAGGAATGAGAATAAGTAAAATGCTATAAGAAAATAGCTACTTCTATCTTCAAAGTGTCTCAAGGCAATCACATTTAAATTTACTACTTTGGTACCCCAATTTGTTAAAGTCCAATGGGCAGAAGATAGCCTACCTGCCAGCAAATCAGCAGATCAAGCTTTCTCAAAAGCAGAGATAAACATGTAAAAATATCTCAATACTTAAACAATTTTAGTGCATTTAATATAAATTGAAAAATATCACAAAACCCAGTAAGACTGTAGTTTGCTATCATCTGCACCCATTTTATGATCCCCTGCTTTCAGTATTATTTTCCTATGTCTTACAAATCCTACTTTATCAAGCATTTAAGTATAAATAGCAGACATTGTGGGGTGATATCATTTCCTCCAGTATTTGATTATTATCAGAGTATTTATTTTCAACTTAAAAATACTTATATTAAGCTTAAACAATTCACAAATATTTGTAGTCTCTAGAAAGTCATAATGCACCATCATTTTAACTATAGTAAAATAAGGATAAAAGTTCCCAAATAAATATATAAATAAATAAGCTTACTAAACTATCCAATGTATAAAACGTCATGTTGGAGCTTCTAAACAATAAATAAAATAGTTAAATATAAACATAGCTTGTATGAAAAATAAAAAGGGATTTGATTTTTTTTTGGGTCCGGTTGTGAGGCCTGAACTCTGGGCCTGGGCGCTGTCCCTCAGCTCTTCAGCTCAAGGCTAGTGCTCTACCACTTGAGCCACATCGCCACTTCCGGCTTTTTCCTTTTTGCTTATGTGGTGCTGAGGAATCAAACCCAGGGCCTCAGGCATGCAAGGCAATCGCTCTACCACTGAAAAAGGATTTGAAAAAAGTCATCGTGAATATTTATACAGGTACTTTAAATAATATAAAATAAATTTCTTCAACCTTTTCTCCTTGAAAGAAAAAAAAGAAATGATTAATAGATCAAACAGGAATCTAAGGAGCAAAAAACAATTGACTTAAAAGACCCCTCTCCTGAGGGGAAGGAGAAAAGCAACTAAGGATTTGTTTAAGAAGTCAATAGGAGGGTTGGGAATGTAGCTTAGTGGTAGAGTGCTTGCCTAATATGCATAAAGCCCTGGGTTCAATTCCTTAATACCACATAAACAGAAAGGCCAGAAGTGGTGCTATGACTCAAGTGGTAGAGTGCAATTCTTGAGCAAAAGCTCAAGGACAGTGCTCAGGCCCTGAGTTCAAGTCTCAGGACTGGCAAAAAAAAAAAGACGTGTCAATAGGAATACAGAAGGGAAGAGCAGGTTTGTGGATGGATCTTGGCTGATTTTCACATGCCCTGTAGGAAAAGCCACTCTTATTATAAGCAGATCTAATAATAGAAAAGAAATAGTGGTCGCAATATATACTCACAAATGATGGATCTTTATTCAGGCAAGCATCAATGAACTCCTTAAAGGACTTACTAAAGTCTCCAACAAGAGTTGGAGGATTGTTTTTGGGGATAAGAAACAGAACTCTCATTGGATGCATATCAGAGTTCGGTGGCTCTCCTTTGGCGAGCTCAATGGCAGTAATTCCCAATGACCAAATGTCAGCCTAAAGTAAAAGAAAGAGAAGTACATTACTTTGAAACTTTATTCCAGCATACTGGCAAAAGAAGATCTGTAAAAATGTAGTGTTAATAATTTTTAAAACAGGCCGGGAAGGTGGCTCAGTAGTAGAGTGCTTGCCTCGCATGCATGAGGCCCTGGGTTTGATTCCTCACCACATAAGCAGAAAAAGCCAGAAGTGGCGCTGTGGCTCAAGTGGTAGAGTGCTAGCCTTGAGCTGAAGAGCTGAGGGACAATGCCCAGGCCCAGAGTTCAGGCCCCATGACTGATAATAATAATAATAATAACAACAACAACACAATTTACTTATAAAAAATGGTTGACCTAGGTTCTGGTGGCTCACACCTGTAATCATAGCTACCTAGGATGCTAAGATCTGAAGATCATAGTTCACAGCCAGTCTGGGCAGAAAACGCCAAAAGATACTTATCTCTAAGTAACAAGAAAAAACCTGGAAGTGGAAATCTGGCTCAAGTAGTAGAGTTTTAACCTTGAGTTAAAAAGCCAAGCAAGTATGTAAGGCCCTACGTTTCAGCCTCATGATTGGTACACAAACGATCGACTTTTGTACTTTGTGCCCGTCACTATTCTAGGCAAGGAAGATTCAAGTAGTAAATAAGGCAGACAGATTAATAAATATTAGAATGTCCAATGGCTAAGTTCTATGAAGGAAACAATAAGTACAGCAAGGGGAGAATGAAGAATAGGATTAAGAGAGCTATACATTTACATAGGATGGTTGTGAAAGACATCTCTGTGTAGACAATGTACAAGCAGAGACTTAATTGGGTGGAAGATTATTTCAGACAAAGAAAGATAAGAACAAATGTCCTGTTTGGGGACCAACAAGGCCATTATGGCTGAAGCAGAAAAGTACAGAAGAACTTGCTAAGAGATAAAGTTGGAGAGGAGACTATGGTCACACCATGTAGATCTTTGTACATCCCAAGAAGGAGTTTGGATATTATCCAAGTGGGATAGAAAGCCACTGGAATGAATAAGGTTCAATATTACAAGCATGAAGGGAATTTATGATGAATCAGCAACATATGACAAAAATTCTTCCTTAAAGACACACTCAAAAAGCAAGGGAAAATAGAGCAGGTTATTAACTCGGATAGCAGATGATTGTACCGATAAGAATAAAATCATTTTTCCATGTGATACATTACCTTTGAGTCATAAGCTGACTGTTGAATAACTTCAGGAGCCATCCAAAATGGAGTTCCCACAAAGGTGTTTCTTTTAATTTGTGTATCAGTCAGCTGGCCAGCCACTCCAAAGTCAGCAAGTTTCACATCTCCTTGTTCTGAGAGCAAGACATTGGCAGCTAGAGAGCAAAGTACAAAGAAAAAAGAACCTTCAGTTTCCTCCATTGCATCTGTTTTTCTTACGTTTGCATTTGACTGCTGTGTACCTTTTATGTCGCGGTGAATTTTCTTTTCAGAATGCAGATAGTCCAGACCTTTCAAAATCTCTTTTAGCATAGTAGCAATCTGGAACTCATCAAATGGACCAGCTCGCAGCTTGAAGAGAAAAACACACTTATATTTCAGATACACTGAAAAAAATGCAGAAATAAAATTGCAAACTGATAGTTTTACAATGAGGGCATCACTTACACAAATAAAATCGCTGTTTATTAAGCTACCATTTGAACAAATGAGGAAAATTGTTTAAGGTAGAAAACAAAGCAAAACAGTTTTATCAATGGGCTAAATGAATGAGGATCTCAGGGATTAAACTTAAAAGTTAATCAAAGATCATACAAACCATTTTATTTTCACCAAAGAGTGAAGAAATATGGTAAATGATGATCAATTTACATGTCTTTGTTTTAGGTGGAAAATAAAAAAGCAGCTAGTTAAATTCTGGGATTTGCTATTAAAAGTCACTACCTATTAGTCTGTTGTTAGTGGCTCACACCTATAACTCTAGTTACTCAGAAAGCTGAGCTCTGAGAATCATGATTTAAAGCCAGCTCAGACACAAAAAGTCCATATGACTCTTACTTCTAATTAATCACCAAAAAGCCAGAAGTGGAGCTGTGGTTCAAGTTGTGCAGTAACAGCCCTGAGTGAACTAGCTAATAGCCTTCAGGCCCAGAGTTCAATTCCCAATATTAGCTACTGGCCCTGACTTGATTTTTAGATCAGCAACGATTTGATCAGACAGGTCAACTAAACAGTTCTTGCTATTTTATATGTATTAATAATACTGTGAGGAACAGAGCCTTTTTAAGAAATACCCTTTAAATTATCCCGGAATGCAATAATTAAATGATTCAGACTTTTATTGTAAAAATTCAAATCATGGTGGAATGATTATTTTTCAAATAAACCTAACACATTTCCCTTCCTTTCCCTAACCCTGCCTGTACCAAAGCCAACAGTTCCAAGTAGAATACAAGGAAAGCAATGATTAGGTTTCAGAAGAACTTGTAATGGAATATTTGAAAATCTCTCTTTAAAATAAATGGTTATTTTCAAATTCTGGTACCTCATAAAGCATACACAGTGGACTGTACAATATTATTACAGGAAAGGGTGGGAAGGGAAAGTCAGAGGTAGAGTTCTGTTTGCTGGAAGGAGGGACGAGGTGCTGAAAATCAAACACTGTCCACTCTGCCTCACACTGGGAGGGATTCAAGGCTCTTTGGCACCTTGTGTATTTCATCTTTCATGAATGCCATATTTATACTGAATAAAGGGCACTTTCATGTTGAAATTTAACAGCTTAAAATAGAACCTATATTTTAGTCTCACCATTTCATACTAACTGTGGTCTGGGTATACAGTATACTCCAGGGATATCTGTAATTCAATCATCCCTTTCCTAGGTAAGGTTATCTATTTACTTGCAAATCTATCAACTTCCACCCTAAAAGTTTCTATTTAAACAGTAGTGATTAAAAATCATTCAAAGGTGAAAATGAGACACGTTAATGATGGCTGGTAATGAAATTCTGAGGAAGTACCAAATAACTGATGCACAAACATCGTATTAATACTGGGATTTAGTATCACCTGATGATTAAATGTTAGCAGGGATCAAGGAGCTATACCCTCGGTTACTTTAAAAAAAACAGGTGAGATCCACATAAGAAGCTTTGTTCTCAAAAGTTTGTAAATTGGCCTGGAAAAGACAGTGTATGTACTACCTGATATAGAAAATTTTAAAATATTTAAGTTAAAACAAACAAAAAGGGCTGGCATGGGTGGCTCACGCCTGTAGTCCTAGCACAAAAGCTCAAACACAATGCCCAGACCCTATGTTCAAGCTCTAGAACATACACTAACACACAGAAACACAGACAGACACAGACACACAGACAGACAGACACACACACAAACACACACACACACAGAGAAGATTCTTGAACTTGTTATAGTTTTAGTTTAAAATTCCAAATAAAAATCTCCCCTAAATGCTGAAAGACAGTGGGAGGGAAGATTACATGACAGGGCAGGGAAAGTGGTATAGTAAGGTTTTCTGATTCTGTATCACACAGAAAATTGCCTCAAACCTGGTAGCTCAAATGTTTCCTTCAGCCTGCTGGTAGAGAGGAAAAGAATAACAAATGTTTTCATTCTTTGAACTGATGCAATTGTCCTCATAAAACTTTATTTATAAAAATAAGCCATGGCCTACTTAGTTTGTAAACCCCTATTTATCGTTTGTGTGCTCAATTAATTTGCTCAACTTTATAAATTTCCTTTTCATCTTATTTTGTTATCCTCTAGATTTCTTTTTGCCTATTTTATTGGCAGTACGAGGGTTTGAACTCAGGGTTTCATGCTCCTTAGATACTTGTTAGATCACTTGGTAAGGACACTGATGTCATTCCTGAGGGCTCTGCCATCATAATTCTTTTCCAAAGGCCTTACCTTTGAATACCATCAAACTAGGGATTAAGATTTCCACAGTGAATGTGGGTGGAACATATTCAGTTCATAATCATCTTTAGTGACAGTTACTCCAATTATGTGGTTTTGTTTTGTTTTGTTTTACCAGTCTTGGCGGTTGAACTCAGGGCTTGAGCGCTATCCCTAAATTTCTTTCCTCAAGGCTAGCAATCTACTACTTGAGCCACAGCTTCATTTCCTTTTTAGACTATCAGCAATGTGAGACAGCTGATGTACATAAGGTGTAGTGGTCCTGACAAAAGTAATTACTTAGCTGGCGCCAAAGAAAAATGTTAAACTTTGTGTGTTGGGGGAATGAGTGTTGTAATTATTTAAAAATACTCACAAGATCCAGTGCTGAGCCTCCACCCAGGTATTCCATTATTATCCATAATTTTGAACCCTGTAAAGCCATGAAGCAATTTAATAATTACAAACTTGATCCAAAATAACATATTTGAAAGATCATCTCAAATCTAACACAATGATTACACAATATAGATTTAAAAGTGGCTACAAGTACCTAACTTGGAATCTATCATATATATTTCTTTTGCCAGTCCTCAGGCTTGAACTCTGAGCCTGGGCACTGTCCCTGAGCTTCTTTTGCTCAAGGCTAGCACTTTACCACTTGAGCCACAGCTCCACTTTGGCTTTTTCTGTGTATGTGGTACTGAGGAATCAAATCCAGGGCTTCATGCATGCAAGGCAAGCGCTCTACCACTAAGCCACATTCCCAACCCCAATATTTATTTTCCATAAAACTTTTCAAACTGGAAAGCAAAGTTCTGAGCGTATACTCCAACAAATCTACTTAGCCTTTGCTATAGCTAAAAATATTCAAATACTGTTTACCATTAAACAGTATTTTTTTTATAAAACCAATACCATAACTTTAAATTATTATCTTGGAAACATTGAAAGGAAAAAGATAGTTACATTGGAGAATATGGAGGTAAGTGGACATATGTGCACATATTGCTTTCCAAACAATTTTTGAGGAAGACAGTACATATTTAGCCTCATTTTAATTTGTGGCTTTCTGGGTTTTTTTTCTGTTATTACTGTTGTTCTTAGGAGTTTTTTTTGGGGGGGGGAAGGAAGGGAATCCTGGGATTTGAACTCCAGGCTTCATATATATATATATATATATGTTAAGGCAATCACTTGAGTTCTTCTTCTAGCCCTATTAGTTTTAATGTACTTTGCAACTTTTATCAGCAATAATTAACAGAAACTTCTGTGCATACATACAATCCAGAAAGAATATTGGCTTTTTCTCTCTGATATAAATGGATAAGAAAAAGAGTGTGTAGTTTAAAAACCATATGATCATTCCAAATAAAATTATCTTCATTATAAGCTGAACAAGAGGCAATGGAACTCATAGGGGGTGACACATACACACACATTTTAAAACAAGTGTGGGCACACATAGCTGTACAAGATAAATATTGGAGGGCCGGAATGTAGCTCAGTAGTAGATTGGTTACCTAGCATATATGAGGTCCTGGGTTTGATCCCCAGAACTGGCCATAAAACAAACACACACACACCAACCAATCAACCAACCAACCGAATGCAACAAAATTCCCCTTTGGAACAAACCACTAACCTCCTTTTTTTTTTTTAACAGCCATAGCTGAAATACTAGAGACACCTCTCCCTCTCTCCATACCATTTCATGAATGGCATTCCCTGAAATTTTATGAGACCACATTGCTGACTAGAAGTGGAAAGGTTGGTTTTTACTACACTGGTAAAAGTCAAGTTGTGAATGAATTGTGTTCCAAGACTCGTTTTTAAGTGAAGATATTTGGATTTTTTAAAAACAATTATTTTCTTATAAAAGAATGTCTAGGCCAGGCACCGATGGCTCATGCCTGTAATCCTAGCTACTCAGGAAGTTGAGATCTGAGGATCGCAGTTCAAAGCCAGCCCAGGCAGGTAAGACTGTGAGATTCTTATCTCCAATAAACCACTCAGAAAACCAGAAGAGGCGCTGTAGCTCAAGTGGTAGAATGCTCTCCTTGAGCTGAAGAGCTGAGGGACAGCGCCCAGGCCCAGAGTTCAGGCCCCACGACCAACCA